CATGGAAACAGACCCTTTGATCCAACCCATCCATGCGCACCAGATATCCCAAATACATCTAGTGCCATTTGCCAACATTTGGCCCATATCCCTCTAAACCCTTCCTATTCATACACCATCCGGATGCCTTTTAAATGTTGTAATTGTACGAGCCTCCACCACTTCCTCTGGCAGCTCAATCCAAACACCCACTACTCTGTGCGTGAAAAAGCTGCCCCTTATGTCCATTTTAAATCTTTTCCCTCTCACCTTAAACCAATGCCCTCTAGTTTTGGACTCCCACACCCCAGGAAAAGACCTTGTCTATTTACCCTATCCATGCTCCTCATGATTTTATAATTGAATGGCAGAGCAGGCTCAAGGGGCTGAATGGCCTACGCTTGGTCCCATAAACCTGTGTATCTTTATTTGAGGTTCTGCCAGAACGATGTTTCAAACATCACTGAAAATAACCAATTATTCAGAATGCTATTACAAACAGTTTTGTATTGGGAAGATCTATGAACTGGAAAATTAGCTTTCCTCTGAATATTTCGACCAAAAACCTGTTTTAAAGATGGCTTAACTGACAAAACTAAATTAAAAAGATAACTTTACCACAATATGACAACACAAAAAATGAAAATTATTTTTGTCTAATTAAATTTGTGATTGATGTTTTATTCTCAGTAGAAGACTGATGTTTTGCAGCTTCAGTTTGTGCATTAGATTTTAAATTTCTGAATAAAGACTCTTTAGCTTAAAAAAGTTTGTTCACTAGGTTTGAGGAAGGTCCAAACAGGAAGAGGCACCCTCAGCCCCTCAGGTCCCTCTGCGCCGTTTCAGTGGATTGTGGTGACCTGTCTCTCAACTCCATCTAACTTTGCTCCTTCTCCGTTCTTTGATTCTCTTACCCTGAGAAAACCTACCAGCCCTAATTGTGGAGGTTTCACTTGACCTCCAGCACTCACAGCCTTTAGAGTAAGAGGGTTCACGAGGCTGCATCCACTGCTTCCAGATTCCTTCCCCAGAGGAAAGGTTTTCTGCAGTGAACTAAGCAAAACAAATCAAATCATTTTAGGTTTCCCTGAATCTACTAAATTCAAAAGGAACACAAGCCAAGTAAATGCAAACTGTCTTTATTGTTCAAACCTTTAAACTCAAATATCAATCCAGTAACTGTTTGATACCAGATTAAACAATATATTTTATTCCAAAGATCTTCTCAACCAGGCTGTAATTAATTAATTGCAAACTCACCCATGACATCATCTCTCCTAAACAGCATGCTGATATCCAACGGATGAACTCTGCACACTAATTACAACTCTTCCATTACCTCACTTTCCACAAGGCAGCACTAAAGTCGGTCATGGTAATCTAACCAGTTGACACTGCCACAGGAAAAAGAAGCCAAACACGTTTAGGATAACTGAGCAGGAGTAATAATTGTTCCTCCTTTAAATAATGTAGCTTTGTCCTTCAATGTGGATGTTATATTACTCCACAACAATACAATTTGGATTTCAAAAGCATCTTCAACAGAGTTAAAGATCCCAAACTATATCACAGGAGTTCAATAACATTGGGCCATAAGGACAAGGTCAGAAATTACATGACAGCAGGTTATAGTCCAACAGGTTTATTTGAAAACACAAGCTTACTCATTCTTCAGGTGTTAGTGAGAGAGGTACGTAGAACATAGAACATAGAACATAGAACAATACAGCCCCTTCGGCCCACGATGTTGTGCCGACCTATTATCCTATTAAGATCAATCTACCCTGCATACCCTACATTTTACTATCCTCCATGTGCCTATCCAAGAGCCACTTAAAAGTCTCTAAAGTATCTGACTCCACTACCACTGCCGGCAGTGCATTCCACACGCCCACCACTCTCTGTGTGAAGAACCCTACCTCTGACATCTCTCCTATACCTTCCTCCAATCACCGTAAAATTATGCCCCTAGTATCAGACAGAGAATTTCTAAGTAAAAGATCAAAGGGTCACACCATTGATGAGGATGTACTAAAGAAGAAGAATGAGAAATTACTTGATAGAGGTGTACAAGATGATGAGAGGCATAGATAGAGTGCTTAGCCAGAGACTTTTTCCCAGGGTGGAAATGACTATTATGAGAGGCATAATTTTAAGGTGATTGGAGGAAGGTATAGGGGAGATGTCAGAGGTAGGTCCTTCACGCAGAGTGGTGGGTGTGTGGAATGCACTGCCGGCAGTGGTAGTGGAGTCAGATACTTTAGGGACATTTAAGCGACTATTGGATAGGCACATGGAGGATAGTAAAATGCAGGGTAGTTTGATCTTAGTAGGATAATAGGTCGGCACAACATCGTGAGCGGAAGGGCCTGTACTGTTCCTATGTTCTTATGTTCTAAACCTGAGATGCTGTTAAATCTTTAATCAGTAAAAGGTTTTAAGTGATTAATATGTACATGTAAATCCCCAAATACCTTTCAAGTCACTGTCCTGAGAGAACTAAAGGTTTTATCAGTGTAAAGAAGAGGTGACATTTTAGGTCAGACAATGCATGTTAGGTGTGAGGCCTTGTTTAGAATCGGTTTGTGTTTTAGTTTGGAGTCAGGCTGGTTTTATTTCTAAAGTAGGAATTTATAAAACACCATTTTGTCTCCTTCCGTTTCATGCTGCCCTTCACTTCCCTGATTAACCATGGTTGACTTATCCCCTTTCTTTAATCTTGCCAAGTTACCATGGATCCCATTCTTTATCAGTCTCCCATGTGGGGCCTTCTCAAAGGCTTTGCTGAAATTCATATAATCAACTGCCCTGCCCTCATCTACAGACCTGGTCACCACCTCATAAAATTCTATCAAATTTGCTAGGTGTGACCTCCCTCTGACAAAGCCACGTTGACTAGCCCTGATCAAACCTTGCCTCTCCAAGTGGAGATTAATTCTCTCCTTCAGAATTTTCTCTAACAATTTCAACAAGGGAGGTTTTGTTAAATTTATCAAAGGCGCGAGCAAGACCACAGCTGGAATACTGAGATAGTTTTGGGTCTCTTGTCTAAGGAAAGCTATATTGCTATTGGAGGTAATCCAGAGAAGGGTCACTAGGCTGATACCAGGTATGGAGGAACTGACTTATGAGGAGAAGTTGAGTAGACTGGGCCTGTAATCGTTGAAATATAGAAGAATGGAGGAAACTTCATTGAAATATGCACGATTGCTGCTTCTGAAGAAAAATCATATCAGATTCAAACTGTTAATTCTGTTTCCCTATCCACAAATGCAGCCAGACCAGCTGAGCTTCTCCAGCACTAAGTTTTTATTTGAAATTTCCAGCACCTACAGTATTTTTGGTTCTATTTTTAAACATTCTTTAGGGGTCTCAACAAAGTAGATGCAGAAAAGGTTAAATCCTCTTGAGGGACAGTCTTGGGACAGACAGCATAATCTCAGCGTAGGTGATTGGGTCAAATGGCCAACATCTGCTTCTATGTGCATGGTTTTAAAGCTCATCAATGACTCTGCTGCTCACATCTGTCATCAGCCCCATGTTCATTGATCTACAGTGGTTCATGGTCTATTAGTTCATTAATTTTAACATTCTCATCCTTGATTTCAAGTTGCTCCCTGGCCTCAGCCCTCCCTGTCTCTGTAGTCTCCACCAGCCCCACGACCCTCAACAATCTCTGCACTGCTCTAATTCTGACTTCTCACTTGTCACCGATTTCAATTACTCCACCAGCAATGGACGTGTCTACAGTTCTGCAGTGACCTCACAAGCCCTTTCAATCTTTGTCTGCTTATGATCAAAAGCCTGCTCACCTGCTCCTATATGTCCAGATGTGGCTTGGTGTTTCAATATGTTCCTGGGACCATTTTACTATGTTAAAGGCAATATATAAATGCAAGTAATTATTGTTAAGATTTCTTTTCCCTCTTGCATTGGATGTAATGTAGCTACAGGGTGCACCAGAAATAAATGTCCCCGATTTGTCAATATGCCTTTCCACAATTTTGCCCTTTTAGAATCTGGGAAGCCCACCTTTCACAATATGTAGTGTTAGACTCGTGCGTCAGGATCCAGTGAAACCGAAACACAATAAAGACAGCAGAAATAAAAGAGTCCAACTGAAGTGAGTCTTTCTCCAGTGTAAAGCTCTGGAGAGATGACTATCACTGTTGTTTGCTGAGAGGCGACAAGTCAAGGACAGCAAAAACTAAATTGAGTTTTTTTAGATTTATGTTACCTGTGTACAGTGACTCAGGGTCTTGCAAGGCTGCTTCAGAGATCACTGAGATGTGTCAATAGTGGAGGAGCTGGAGTCATGCATAAGCAACATCAGATACGTCATTTATGAAGAACCAGTTATTTATTCTAGTGCCAGCTCACTGAATATCAGATCTATCAAAGTCTGTTTGGATTCATAGGTGTTTGACATATTCTTCTGACTTAACCATGTTTTTGGGGGTTCAGGTTGAAAGGTGTGTAAAGTTTCCCTGCTTACAACACGACTAATTTTAAGAATTAATTTTAAGCACAATGCTGGTGCAAGGAAGATTTTTGCGTATATATAAATAAACAAAATACTGCAGGTGCTGTAAATCTGAAGTAAAAAGACAGACAATGCAGAACAAAATCAGCAACTCTGACAGCATCTGTGGACACAGAAACAGAGTTAACACTTCATGTCCGGTATGACTCTGGCAAAGAGTCAGAAGGGACTTGAAACGTTAACTGTTTCTCTCTGCACAGATGCTACCAGGTTTTTATTCATGTTTAACTAACAGCAGAGCTATGACACTATTGTCACACTGGACATGAACACTTCACTTCCCAGTTCAAACCTGCAACCTGAATGTACAATTCAGTCTTTGACAGCCCCTTCATGCATTCTGAGAAAAACATGCAACACTAAACAAACCACTCAACATGCCTTCAGCAAATCACACTGATGGTTATCTATAACTACTCAGCAGATAGGATGTTAAAAAAGTGAATCTCCTCCCAAGGTAAAGCGAGTCACATCTTACCTTCAGTGGCCTTGTTAATTGCTGAAAGGGTGCTCAAAACCTTGTTGAAGTTCAGTCCTTTGTACAGGTCATTGACATCAAACGTTTGCTGAAAACAACAGGGTCAAAAATAAATCAAATTTGAACTTGCACAGAAACATTACACTATCAGGAAATGGGCAATGATAGAAAGGTTACCATTTATTGTCCAATCCCAAGATATGTTTCTTTCCAAGGGACACAAGTCAAAGGGATAGATTTTTACAATAATCTGACAGTTTTATAAATCACTTTTACCGAGTTCTAGTTTTTATTCACATATTGTTTCTTAAATCTAAATTTAAGTTTGTAACCTGCCAATTATGAGACTTAAGTTCTCTGAATTATTAACTTAGATCTCGAGCTCACTTTTCAATACTTAGTGTACAGACTACAGTGTCTGTTGTGTATCTCACTAGTGAAGCTCATTAATGCTATTTAAACAAAATTTTTTTTTTTTTTTTTTTTAATTTACACGAAGCAATTTAACTTCTGTTTCATTAAAATGCACCACGATCCACCAAGGGGGATGTGCACCTTCCTGATACCAGAGCACTTCTGTGAAATAGTCACGTTCAACTGCCTGAATCACAAAAAACTTACAGCGTTAAATATTTATTCAAACTATTTCAACAGTTTAAGAATAGATTACTTTAGCTACCGATTAAATATGCAGAACCAGGAGAAAAAGGATTAATGAAGTGAATCAGCTTGAAATGAGTGAATTTGGTTCAAACCATCTGATCTGTGTTTCCTTCCCCTTTACCAAGGACGTCACGAGCAACCGAAATGTTTGAAACGCTGCTCGTCATATGAAGCTCACTGCTAAGATTAACCATTTATGGGACTTTATACACAACAATCTGGACTTTGTTTAGTGCAAAATATTTAATTTAATCCCGTAACCAATTCCGATTTGTCATCCCATTTAATCACAGAGAGAATCTGTGGTAAAACTGCATCTACCAAAAGCCCTAGGACTTCCCACAATTATTTTGTGGTCTACAAAATACTTTTGAATTGCAATCACTGTTTGTAGGCAAACATGGCAGCCAGTTTTCAAAAAGCAAACCTCCACCAACACCGAGACAAAAACATAATGGATGGTTATCTATATTAGCCAGGAAGCAGATCCCATTTTGGCAAAGTGAGTCTGTGTAAAACACAAGCTGTGTTCTACTGCATTCACAGCATCATGGTCAAAATGTGCACCTTCACAGAATCTCAACATTCTGACCGAATGGTCAATGAAGGTGGAAAGGGGAACCAATTGTGGCAATCCAATGACAAACTAGTTCACAAAAAACCTGGTGACCCGGAGCCACAGCTGGTTCTCTCCAAGTAGTCCACATCCAGAAGAACAGACAGCATCAGATTTGAGCTGACTTTCTTGTGTGAACGCAAGCAACTCGACCAATCCTTCACTGCTACAGCAGTGGGAGTTTCAGCCCATAGTAAACATTCCCACTGAAGCAAAGTGGCAGCCAGGGGAAATTCTGTACCTGCAAAGAGGCCTATACCCCACCATGATACACAAAACTGCTCGAGTCAGCAATTTCAAATTCCATCAACAGCAGCTCAAACACGTGAGATAACAAGGTGTAGAGCTGGATGAACACAGCAGGCCAAGCAGCATCATAGAAGCAGGATTCTCTGACACAATTTTAACCCCACTGCGAAGCCTCTATGATACAATTTTAACCCCACTGCGAAGCCAGCCTTCTTGCTCCTATGATGCTGCTTGGCCTGCTGTGCTCATCCAGCTCTACACCTTGTTATCTCAGATTCTCCAGCATCTGCAGTTCCTATCTCAGCTCAAACACGTGACCACTGGTCCAGCATTGGAAACTCAAACACGGCCTCTTGCAAATGCAGAGATGAAGTGCATTTTTGCAAACTGTAACAATTTCAAAATACTTCTTTGGAAATCAGTTATAGACAGTTCTGTGATCAATACATACTTGACCCTATCTTTCAACATATCTTTTACAACAAACAGAGTAAAGTTCACCAACCAATGGCCTCCGATTCCTGCGTTTTGGTGAAATTTTACCCGTACTGACCTCTTATCAGTGGGGTGAAAGTTGGGTCACCACAAGGGTGTCTCGCAGCTTGACTAACTGCTGAGACCAGGGAGCTTTGTACTTCCACTGTTTGGAACAGGGTAAAATCGGTTTAACTCAAGGTCACAATGAACAGAGGATAGAAGGGCAGCTTCCTTTCCTGTTTTGAGAGATTTCAGATTGCTCAATATAGAGTCTTCTGGTGCTTTAAACGAACAGTGACTCCTGCGAAGGCGTCTGGAATGAAAAACAAACAGTAGATACAAGCTTTGCTTGGGTGCCAGTGATGTCTCAATGGGAATAATTCACTTCTCCGAGGAAGGAGATTATACACTCAAGACCCACTTTAGAGACGGTGTACATAAGTCAGCCAGATCCCTCATAGCAGCATTAACAAATACTGCACTGTCGGAGGGTCGGCGCGGAGGGAGCGCCGCACTGTCGGAGGGTCAGTACAACATTGCATAACAATTACAATTTCAAAAGTAGCTCATTACTGTACAGCTCTTTTCAGCTTCATGAGGATTTGGAAGGTTTAAGTTCTTAATTATATTTAACTTAAGAGTGATTAGTGCAGATCACTGATGTAGAATTTGGGTAACACTGCACACAGGTCTCCACTATCCAGCTTCATCTCACTTCAATGCATCAGTCTGCGTCTTCAACCCTCAAGTGTTTATCCAGGGTCCCTTAAATGTATTGATATGATTCAATTCAACCACTTGCTATCGGAGCATGTTCCACGTTCTTATCACGCTCTGGATAAAGAGGTTTCTACTGAAATCCCAATTGGATTTATTAACGACTAGCTTCACTTTACGATTTCTAGTCTTGGACTCAACTACAAATGGAAACATCTTCAAGAGCTCTTATTGATGAAAAGGTTCAAAACTGGATCAGCCGCTCCTGCTCAATCTTCTCCAAACTACAGCAGTGAATGTTTGCCAAAAGAGGCTTCCACAAGTCAAAAGGTCCTGGTGTATAGCGCAGTTGTCATCACTACCTTGCTCCATAGCAGGGAGAGCTGCATTGTGGATCAGAGAGAGAAATAGCATTAGACAAATTCTACCAATGTCTCTCCACAGTCAAGGGGAGGGCCACTGAAATACTTGCGTCCTCCTTGAAGCAACTCCACAAACATCGGGCAAAGCCCCTGATGGCAACTGTATCCAGAAGCTGGACAGTGTTTCCCTGCCTTGGACCTATCATCGCAATTCTCAAATGGTCAGTATTCCAGTTGTGGTCAAAGAAAACGCTGCAAAGATGATCTGAGCCTCTCCGTGAAGCACAGCAGCATTGAAGGTAATGGCTTAGAGGAGTTTGTCCAACTCATTTAGAATGTTGACAACTTGCCCATCGAATCACATCACACCGAACCCAAACACCTTAATGAGGAGGTCAAGGGGCAGCTGAGGGGAAAGAAAAGGAAGCCAATCTTGCTCTTCAAATCCCACTCCTTCATGGGAGGTCTGTGGTTCAAGAATCCACCTATTCAGTTACACAAAGTCCCACGGCAGAAAGTCGTGGCTCTGAGTAGCCACAGAAAGCAAGGTGGAGGGCTCACCCTGTCCGAGGCGGAGATGGTGGAGAATTCCGAGGAGTGATGATCATTAATAATCAGTCCTGGTCCACTCATGCTGACCAAGGTAGCACAACTCTCTACTTCCTCAGGAGTCTAAACAAATTCAGAATGGTCATAAAGACTCTTACCAATTTTTACCGATGCACCATATAAAGCATTCTATCTGGATGCATCACAGCTTGGTATGGCAACTGCTCTGCCCAGGACCGTAAGAAACTACAGAGAGTTATGAAAACAGCCCAGTCTATCACACAAGTCAACCTTCCATCCATCAACTCCATCCATACTTCTCGCTGCCTCGGGAAGGCAAGCAACATCAAAGAGCCTCCCACTCCGGTTGTAATCTCTTCCACTCTCTTCCATCAGGCAGGAAATACAAAAGCTTAAACGGATGCACCAACAGATTCAAGAACAGCTTCTTCCCCACTGCTATTAGACTCCTGAATGGACCTCTCAAATTTTAATGCTGATCTCGTTCTTTGTGCATCTTCTCTGCAGCCATAACATTGTATTCCTCACTTGGTTCCATTACCCTAATGCATTTTGTATGGTATAGTCTGCCTGTACTGCACACAAAACAAAACTTTTCACTGTACCCAAGTAAATGTGACAATCGATGCCGATAAGGACCTCAATCAAGTTACCCTTCAGTCTTCTCTCAGAGAGGAACATACAGAGGTCCAACACATCCCTTTACTTGAGGCTATAATTAGCTTGTTACAGTTATAGATGCAACATTGCAATGGAACTGAAGACATGAACAAATTACATTTGGTAAAGACAGTGAATATTTTCAAATATGCTTTGTTCCAAGATTAAAAACTCACCCTGGTTAAAATACTACAAATATTTAAAAGAAATTTATACAAGAAAGTTTACAAGCACAGTTAAAATGTGAAAGGACTGAAGTTCTTTCTGTAACACTATCATCAGTTTGTTTGTGTTTTTAATGGGATAATGACTGAGCTACACTTTTACCCCTGGGCTAGCCATACAACGCAAGGTTGCCTGGCTCCCCATTTCCTGAGAGGTCAACAGCTCAGATCATTTCCCACCCCACTGCTGGTATAAACTGCCCAGCCAGGAGCTGCCAGTGTCAAGAATCTCTGACCATATGGTCCAGCCTGATCAAACAGCACCTCCCACCCTCTCCATCTATCTTCCTGCACAGGTCTGTATCCAAGTGTAAACGCCTTCAACCTAAGCTGTTACCTGAGGAATCCAGTTCTGTCGGTTTGCAGTGGTCCCTATCAACTCAAGGCACAGAGCAGGACAGTTTACGTTCCAAAATATTACCCCTAAATATTTAAAAATACATCTGGAAGATAGAGACTGGTACACCACAGATGACAGCTGCTCTGAAAAAGAAATGAAACACCCAGAGAGAATTCTATATGAAACTAGACATCGAGAGAATAAGGAGAA